AACTGCATAAACATAAACGTTTGACTGTCGACGCGGATCTACACCAGAGGGCGGCGCCGGAGGCGACGCCACGGGGACCCAGGCGCAGATCCAATAAATCCACGGGGACTGTCGAGACTTCATGTTCAGGCCGTTTTTTGTTCTTCGACTCTTGGCCGCCCAGAGATCCGATGTCCTGATTTTTTCGGAGCGATTTTTCATCCTGACTCGTTGCTTGACGGGCCCAGGGCCCGGCGAGGGCCCCCAAAGGCCGAAAACTGGGCCTCTTGGCCGCCGCGGGGGGGTCTGGGACGATGGGCCCCGCCGGGCTCGGCGAAGGCGTGCACGCAGCTGGCGCCCTGCCAGCCTCGTCGGCGTCCTCGGCGTCGTCGGCGTCGTCGTCGTCGTCGTCGGCGTCGTCGGCGTCGTCGTCGTCGGCGTCGTCGGCGTCGGCGTCGTCGGCGTCGTCGTCGCAAGCGTACATGCAGCTGGCGCCCGGCCAGCCTTGGGCCCGCCCGCGACCGCGCGGCCCGGGGCGCCGACGGCGCGGAAGCCATCCAGGATCCCCTCGAGCAGCTCTCGCGCGTCCTCCTTGGGGCAGGGCGGAGCGAAGGACGGGATGGAGCCCAGACCCCCTCGAGTCATGAACAAAATCACGACGAGCGGCTTTTCGCTAACTTTCGAGCTCTGGGAGCCCGTACTGGGCCTCGGGACCTTCTCAAAAAGTTAGGATTAAAAGCTGGTCCTGGGAAATGGGTCCTGATTTTTGTTGGAGGGCCGACGTTACGGGGGGGACAAAAACATGAGGGGAAGGGGGGACGGGGGGAGGGGAGGGTCGACAGGCGAACAGTGAAATTTCTCGAGGCGATCCAGGAAAATTCTAGAGGCGAACGAAGATGTGATTCCTCACGAACCAAGAAATGGTTGGGGGTCCAAAGGCGAACCAGGACAGTTCCTTCGTGGAACGAGGAAATCATCGAACGCGCACCAGGAACAAAAAAAAACAGGAAGTCTGCTGAGCGAGAATACGCCGACGAGGCCACTTCGGAACCCATCCAGCCTGTCAACCAACGAAAAACCGGCCGAGCAAACCCAAAGTAGAACACCCTGATGACTTAGGATCTCTAAGCGCCCCTCCGATGAGGCTGCGACGTTGTTTCTCAATGGGCTACGATATCACCCTCCTCGTCCACTTTCTCCTCCTCATCCTCCTCCTCCTCACCTCCTCCACCCCCTGGGTCGGGCTGCCGGGAGCCTTCAAGTCGGAAAAGGACGCAGCGTCATCGTCTCTGGATGACGTGGTGAGTTTGCACGAGAGGCTAGGATAGATCACCTATCGTTTGCGCATGGCTGCTGAGGTTACGCGAAATTTTAACAATAGATCACCTTCCTGCTCCCCCACATTCTCCTCCTCCCCCTCCTCCTCCTCATCCTCCAGGCAGATATCCGGCTGCTCCGATGTGTTCTATGCGTGGGCCCCAGAGGTCTGGACCACTTCTCCCCAGGGCCAGTTCTGCGCCCCGAATCGTTCCTGGACGGCCCCGAGGCCTGGCGAGGGCCCGGGAGGCCGAAAACGCCCCCCCAAACCGCCGCTCTAAATATGTTTGTTGGAGCGTCCGAGCTCTGGGTCCCGAGGGCGGTCCTCCTCCGCGGAGCGGCGCCGCGCCGACCCCCCCCTGGGGCTGCGGGCTGAGGGCGCGCGGGCGCGCGGGCGAGGGCTGCCCCGCATCGCCGTGCGCGGAGGGGGGCCGAAGCCCGCGCGCGCCCCGCGCGGGCCCGCGGCCCACGGCCTGCGGCGGGCGCCGCTCTGGCGACTGGATGGGCTTGGCGCACTTGCCCCTGCTCCTGCTCCTGCTCCTGCTCCTCGTCCTCCTCCTGCTCCTGCTCCTCCTCCTCCTCCTCCTCCTTCCCCTACCTGCTGCCCCTTTATCTCCTCCTGTCTTCTGTCTCCTACTACAAATGTCCGATCCCCTCATCCGATATCCGGTATCCGATATCATATGTCCGATCTGCTACGTACCTCCTATATCATATCCCCCCTCTGCGATCTCCTATCTCCAATACCACAGCTCAGATCTCCGCTCTCAAATGTCATATCCCCTATGCCCTACCTCCTATATCCTACCTCATATGTCGTATCTCCTACTCCCGCACGCGGCAAATCCTCAAAATTCTGTGATGATGCAGAAGTTCATCAGGCAATCATCGGCATATGGAAGACTCCGAGAAATCCTCACGCCACGGCAGAAGAAGAAGAAGTCGTCGGAAGTGACACGGACACCCCTGACGATCACCAGAAACGCTCGGAGATCACACAAAAGGATCATGCGCGAAAGTCCCCAGGCAAACTCCGAGGGCCCTCGCGGGCCAGAGGGGGAACGGTAAGGAGGGTCCAACATCGACCTGGAATCGGCGCTGCATCGCCGATAGACTGGCGACAGGCCTCCGATGGCGAATCCGCACGCTTCTGGGCGGGGTGGGCTATCGGGCCCACATCGGCGACAAATGAGCGATTGGGGGTCGACGCATCCTCCCTTGAGCCTGTCCCCCCTGTGGTTGCCCTCTGCCTGTTTCTCGGGTCCTAACTTGTCTCTCCGGCGGCCGTTCGGGACGGCGAGGCGAGGCGCAGCTCGGGAGAGGCACCCCGAGGCTGGCGAACAGCCGAGACTCTGATCGAATGCCCGAAAACCTCGAGCCTCGAACCACGAGCCCCGCCCCCCCCCCCTCCCCGACGCTGCCCCTGACCCGCGCGGGCCGCCCGCGCGCGCCTGGCGCTCCAGGCGCACACCCTGCGAGGCCGCGGCTCGCTGCTGCTGCAGGCCCCTGGGGCGCCGGCGGGCGCCGACGAGGGGCGGCCAGCACGCCGCGGCAGGCCACGAGGGCCCGCCCCGGAGACCAGCACCGAGGCGCGGGAGGGGAGGACGGGACGAAGCCCGGGACGAGGATCAAGTACAGTCCACCCGTACAAGCAAGCAGGACGCGCGATGAGGATGCGAGGGCCTCGAAAGGCCATGACGACACTCTGCGAGCGGGGCGCGGCCAGTGAGAGCGGCCAAGGATGGGCCGAACGGGAAAGATGCAAGGGTATGCCCTTGGGAAGTCGCTAACCCTTACTATGCGGGTCGACTGTTGTGTGAGGATAAATCGAGAATTTCTGAGATCCAGCGGCTCCGAGGCATGTCTCGGGCACCGCGGCCTTCTCAGAGCGTTCTGGACCGCTCCGAGGGCGTTCCGGAACGCCCTGGGACGGATTCATCCTCGTCCCAGCCCCGCCCGAGAGGAGGCGAGGGGGGGAGGCCACGGCGGCGAGCGTCAGCTCGACATTCCAAGTTTCAGACGTTTTCGTTGGCTCTCGGCGGTTCTCCAGCCTTGGGATGCTCTCCAGCGGCCGCGCCTCGCCAAGGGCGTTCTGGGGGTGCCAGTATATCGTCCTGAACGGCCGCCGGAGAGCCGAGTCATGACCCGAAAACCACGGGGGCAACTGTGCAACGGCAGGAGGAGGGGGAGGTGGAGGTGGAGGCGCAGTGGGGCACTGAGGACGAGTGGCCACAAACATCGGAGGGCGTGAGCTATACACCTACACCGATCCTGACCAGCGCGACGCTAGGCCAGGGATCGGCGTATGTGCCTCCCTCGCAAAGCCGAAAGGGCTCATACACCGATGGTGCGCCTGGCCAGGACAATTGCAGGTGCATTTGGCGCCCTCCGAAAACCGTGACGGCTCGGCTTGGGATCCCATTCCTGCCCTTGGGGTCCCATCCCTCAGGGCCTTCTCCTTGAGCCGCCGAAGGGGAAGGGAAAGCGCAATTTACGGGGAGGGGAGGCGGGCACATGCCTGCGCGGTTCAATCCGGACATTACGCGACTCTATACAACCCGATCTGTTCTTCTGCATTAAGCTGCTGCACCCCGTCCATTCGGAGTCAACTCTGTCAGACATCAAGACCACTGCATGTGATCACACAGCGTGCGAGGAAGGAAAAGGGACTCCGAAGAGTTGTGATGTCGTCTGGGGATCTCAAAGGGAGGAAGGAGGAATAGGAGCAGGAAGGAATCGGATGAGCAGAAGGATGAAGGACGAGCACGAGAAGAATAGCAGCAGAAGCAGGAGGACGGGGGGGCGGCCCCACGCGAAACGTGATGGGGGAGGTGGCGGGGCCTGAGCAGCAAAGGAAGCATGAGAGCCACCATTTCCATCCCGCCTGCCATCCCAGACAACCGGCTGCTCCAATTTCTTCGATGCGCGGGCCCCGGAGGTCTGGACCACTTCACTGGGGCTGATTTTTCGTCCTGAATGGTTTTTTGACGCTCTCGAGCGAGGCCTGGCGAGGTCCTGGAGTGGCCGAAAACGGCCAAAAACCGCTCGCTCCAATAGCGTCGGACATCGGATGAGGGAAACGGATCCCCCCTGGTGGTGTGGTCCCCCCCTCTCGCTCAAGGCATCAGTGCAGGCGCAGATCGCATCGTTATTTGCATTCAACCCACTTGCCCACTTGCCCTACTTGCTGCGCGCGTACCCTCTTGCCCCGCTTGCCCCCCTTGCCCCACTTGCCCCACTTGCCCACCCTGCCCCACTCGACCCACTCGCTCAACCGTCCCACGCTCATGCGGACGAGGCAAGTGGGGCAAGTGAGGCAAGTGGGACAAGCGGGATTGAGAATAAAGCTCTCTCTCCGCGACCGCTTGGTCGAGCTTTGGCAAGCCAGAGCCGCCGTCTGCGAGCAATCAGTTTTCTCTCCCCGGCGGGCCGGCTCGCCGCGCAGGGACCGCCAAGAACAAAAAACTGAAATATTGTAATCGGCGGTCTCCTGGGCAAACGGCGCGTCTCATCCGCCATATTGCGCGCGCTTTTTGGCGAGGCCCTGTCGCTCGGAACTCAAGTGGGAGGACGAAAAGGCGCGCTCCGCGCGAGCGAACACGCACGAGGCGCAGGCTCGCTCTAAAGCCCAACGCGGACGTGCAGCACCTACCTGTCATCGCTCCAGTGCCCGTGGCAGCTGCGAGGCCCGTGGCAGCCTGCCATCACGCGTCGAAGTTGTCCGCGCTCAGGCGCAGCTGCTCCGCCGCCTCCCTCGACTGCGGATTGTTCTGGATGGCGGCCCACGTCATCTTCTTGAAGTGGATCACGAGCCAGCCGCCCTTCTTCTGCTTCTTGGCCGGGGGCTCCGCGCCGCCCTCGCTCACCAAGGGGTCGCCGCTCTGCTCCACGAAGGTAACGAGGTTGGCGTCGCGCAAAGCAATGACGGCGTTCTCCAAGGCTTGCGACGCCCTGGTGATCTCCTTGTTCTTCATCCCCGCCTTCATGGCAGTGCGCAGCTTGTCGGTCGACTCCACCCCGCACCCGGGCCGCTTCAGCGCGGCGCGCTTCAACCACTCCTCCTTCGTCAAGGACGCCTCGAACTGCCGAATCGTCATCCCAGAGCCCTCGGAAGACGACGGCGGGCCGCCGGCTGCGTCGGAGGGCGGGTGGTGGATGCGGTTCTGGCGTGGTGGATCCGCCGGCGCCATTGTCGCCCGAGAGATGTAGAAGCCGTGGTGGGCGTGGATCTGGCGCGTCCAGTTGTGGAGCGCCACGGCCATCTCGTGGACATTGTAGCAGCGCCGGGCGGGCTGGTCGGCCCCTCCTGGAATCGAAGTCAGGGAACCGCAGAACTGCGCCGACCGCATGGCCACGTTGGCGTAGCGACTGATGTCCGCGTCGCTGAAGAGAAGTTTCTGCGCCCAGTTCTTGTCCACGTCTGGGGTCTCCGCGAGGAAATCCTCCGTGGCCTGCGTCGCGGCGGACAGCATGCTGCTCGCGAAGCCATCGGGCCAATGGCGCTCCTCGCGCGGCTCCGCGAAGCGGCCCATCCACCCGCAGTGCTTGCGCAAGAACTCCTGGGGGGGCGCGCCGAGGCCGACACTGGGCGCCCCCAAGAACAAAAAACATGTTTCTTGCTGGCGGCGGCCCGCAGCGGTCACAGGCCCACAAAGCTTCCCCCCCTGCCCCCCATCCCGAGGAACTCTGAGCGATGGAGGCGACCCAGGAGGCCCCGGGCAGACCCCGGGGGCGCCGGGGTCTCTGCCATTGGTTTGGAGGCTACTCCCGGGCCCTTCCTAGAACTAGGCGGCACCGAGGCCCTTCCTGGAACTTCGAACCCTCACTGGAGGCTGCAAGGTTTCTCCCAGGACGCCCCTGAATTCCTGGGAGGAGGCGCAGATCTGCGACGCGTCGTTCTCGGCGCTGAGGACGAAGAGCATGCTGAAGCGCTTTGCGAAGCCGGTATCGTTGGGCCTCAGTATGTATTCGCATGGCCCGATCTGCCCCAACACCCAATGGAAGTACGAGTAGTAGTCGAGAGACATGCTGCCCTGGGCTGTGACGCTCGTGTCCCGCTCGCAGTTGACGAACTTCAGCATGGTCACCCTGCTGATGTAGTTGATCCCCTTCGTATTCTCCGACTGGGGGCACTCGTGCACGGAGCTCGCCTCGGCCGAAGTAGCGCCAGACCGGCCAGTGTTCAAAATGGCGCTCCTGTGGCCTTTGACTGTGCCATCGCCCGCGGTGTGCCGGCCCTCCCGCAGGTCCTGCTCGATGTCCGGGCTGTCCACGCGCCACTTGGTCACGAACTCGTGCAGGCTGCTCTTGCGGGTCGAGGGCGGCCCGCCCATGAATCCAGGGACGTTCGGGCTCCGATGGTGAACGTCGCCCTCGGAGAGAGCGAGGCGGGTCTTGACGTTCTCCAGCCAGCCCGTCGTGGCCGCGATCCCCTGGAGAAGACCCTCCTGCGGCCAGCCGTTGCGCAGCGCGCAGGCATGGATGGCTTTCCTGTGCGGCTCCGTAGTGAGGCACCTCAGGGAAAAGCCGAGGTCGTTGCAAATCTCCAAGTGCGTCTCCTGGCCGGAGTGGATGGTGCGCAAGAGGAACTTCACCGACTCGTAGACCGCCTTGGCGTTAGTGAGGTCGTAGCACGAGCCCTTGAACAAGTCCGCCGGGCACAGGATGGACTTGAGATGGCGCTCGGTGGTCACCTGCGGATCGCGCCAAAAGCCAAGATCGCAAGGGCGGGGCGCCCCCCGCGCCCGCGCCGAAGCCGCCACAAACAAAAGTTTTATTTTCTGTAGGTGGCAGTCGTCGGTCGGGTGGGGGGGGCAGCGGACCCTGCGGCCCCAACTTGAAGGGTCGCACCTTGCCGAGCTCGGCCGCGAGGTCATCCATCGGGTCGCGCACCGCGGCGGAGCCAGCCGCCTTGGCGCAGCCCTTGAAGGAGAGGCCCCAATCGTCGTCCTGCAAATGCTGCACTGGGCTCCCGTTAGCCGTCAGGGGCACCGGCGACGCCTGAGTCTGTGACACCTGCGCGCCGTGAGCAGGGCTCATCGCCGCAGCCGACGCAGCCGGCGCTGCCGGGGCGGGCGCCGCGCCAGGGCTTTGGCTGGGGGCATGCGACAGGGAGTTCCCCGCAGCCGCCGCCCCTGAAACGCCCGGCGAGGGCTCTGGCGAGAGAGGCGCGCCTGGTGGGGGGGCGCCCTCGCTCGGCCCCGCTGCCACCGGCGTGAGGGGTGCGCTCGGCGGGGGGCCGCTCCCAACTGGCCCCGCCAGAGACGTGCGCAGCTCGACGTCGCGGCCCACCTGGCGGCACTTCGGGCACGGGAACTCAAGCACGTCTGACACCCCCTTTGGCGTTCATGGCCATCTGCAGGCAGTCCTGGTGGTACGCGTGGCCGCAGAGGAGAGCGGCGCATGGCGCCTCGCTGAAGTCCCCCCAGCAGGTGGGGCATGCGTTATCGTCGCTGCCGTCGTTGCTAGGCATGGCGCCGACGGGCGCCAGGGGGCAGCCCGGCGCGGGGGCGCGGGGCGGGCGCGGGCCAGGGCACGCGGCAGTCGAGTCTTGAGCCAAAACGGACGCGGGCGACCGTCGCGGCAACAGCGGGGAATCACAAGTGGGCCAGACGCCGCGTTTCCAAGAATCCGACGGCCGAGGGCGGCCCGCGATGATCGCGCCTTGATGGGTCTCTGCAACGACAGATTTCAAACTGATGTAAGCGGGGCTGCCCCGATGTCCCGCGGGGCGCCCCCGACGCGGCGCCGCCCCCGAATGTGAGTAGGGGCGCGCTGGCGGCCTCAGGGCGACTCCGAATCAGGGCCGGAAGAGTCTCCGGGAGGCCGCCGGGGGGCACTTTGACAGGGCCCGTTGACAAGATCCTGGGAGAGCCCGTTGACAAGATCCTGGGGCACGTTGACAGGGTCAGTTGAAAGGGTCAGTTCGAAACACCTGGCAGACTGATGATACTTTTGCAACCGCCACCCCGCGAACCTCCGAATTCTCACAGACGATCAACGGCGCACCCTCGCACAGCACGCGCCCAGCACTACGGCTGGAACGGGTCGAAGAGGGCGGAAAGCTCGCCCGAGTCAGCGTCCTGCAGCCCGGCCGCGCAAGCTGCGAAGCCGTCTAGTCGCTGGGCCAACAAATAATCTCGCCGGCACCACTTCGGCAAGCTTCCTGCGGCAAAATGCCGGCCGCAGTAACGGAGGAAGCATATCATCGCCAGAACCTCGAACCATCGAATCGAAATCCTGCGGCCGCCTTTGGGCAACATATCGCCCAGAGCGGCCCAGAACCTTTCGACGCAGACGGTTCCCGATTGCACGGGCACGCCGGCCGCCCGGAGCGCGGCCGCGGCCTCCTGCCACTTCCACAAGCCCTCCAAACGGGCCTTCTTGAAGAGTCGGCGGAAGTGGGCCCTGAGCTTCGGCGTCATGACGCTGCCGCGCGCATGCGCGCGCTGGGCCTGTCGGAGGTCGCGGGGGATGCCCACCGCCCATCGAGCCCTCCTCTTCTGCTTCGTGCACCAACGCCTCACCCGCCTCATCTCCTTCTTGAAAGCCGATGGCGTTCGGTAACCGGCGCACCGGCAAGACGGGTGCAATGTGGCCAAAGACCTCCCCGCTAGTCGCGCAACCGCGCCGCGGGGCGGGCGCGCCTTGAAGTGGAGCTTCCACGCGGCGGAGTTCGCGACGTTGGGCTGCGCCATGAAGGCCCTCAGGGCAAGAGCGCCGGCGGCGTCCGCGGCGAGCTGGGCCTCGAAGGTAGCGACGTCGTCGCGGACACCGCTGATGAGGAGGCCGAGCCCAGAGCCGTCAATCACGTCTGGCACCGCGGTGCACGTCGCAGCAGGTTCCGCGCTCAGCCGCATCAGGCCGTCCTTGTAGTCGTGGACGAAGTCTCGGGCGTCGCATCTGCGCGCGGACACGCAGCGCCTCGTCCCGAGGACGTCGCGCAGCGGGTCTCCGGTGATCTCGGCGGGGCTCTCGGCGACTACGCGGGCAGCCCCGATCGCGTCGCCCTTGGGGGTGGCGGACTCGACCGAAGGGGCGAGGGCAGCGGCCTTGCCAGCGTAGAACGCCCTGAGCTTGAGGCGGCGCTGCCCGTAACTGTCTGTGGAATGAGATGCTGGGAGGCAGTCGGCCATGCCGAGGCCGGCCTCGATCCGGTCGTCCCTGCATTCGTCGATCTTGGGGTCCAGGTCCCGCAGGATGTCTTCGATGGCCTCCGCGCGCGACGGCCGCGGGTGGTCCGGCAGCGCGCCATCCACGCCGCACCACGCCAGCAACACTTTGAAAGGCCTTCGGAATCTCTTGGCATCGGGGTCATAGACAGCGACTCGCGTGGCAATGTCGTAGTTCCTGCCCCCTCGCCAAGCAGAGCCAGAGTACACGCGCACGCGCTTCCTCCACGAACGCGCCATTGCCCGCAGGCAATCCCACAAAGCCGAGCACAATATCGATCTCAGAGCCTTGCAAGATGGAGCGGCGCTCATGTAGTGGAGGCCCCGAGCGCCGCCGCACAGCGCCAACGCATTGGTGCTGTAATATTCCGCTAGCGCCCGCCGCACCTCCCGGACATTCAGCTTCTCCATGGATGACTGAACGAGGTAGAGGAGGAAACGCCGGGACATCCAATGGCGGCCTGCCTTCGGCGCCTGGTGCAGGAGGATGCCCGGGAACTGCGCGCGCCAATCTCCATCGGTCACCGCGTGGAACTGTCAGAGGTTACCCTGTCTCTGACACGCGACGCAACGGTGGCTCCTGCAGCCCACGACGACCGGCAACGGCATCTCCAGAATGCACCTCGTCGAAGCCCCCCCGCTGTGCCGACGCACGGTCGCGCGCTCCTCGCCGTGCCCCCGCGCGGTTTCCAGGTGTTCCTGCAAGTCCCCCGGGATAACCTGCCGAACCTCGTGGGAGACTGCCACCGTCAAGTCAGTTGCCAGTGTGTTCATGGTGCCGCCCCAAGCCTCGGCCAAAACTCTGGCTGTCTGCGCGGCCTGGACTTCTCCGGCTGTCCTGGATGCCCCCGTGACTGGTCGCCGGATAAACTTCTGAGAAAGAAGGCGGCATGTGCTCGCGCGCCGTGGCAGAGGGCAAAAATGCACACCGAAGTCCCCCAAATCGGACTGCCGAACGGCGCTGACATCGTTGCAACGGGCCAGGAACACCGTCTGCCCAAGACGCCTGGTCAAAAAGCGCAACGGGACGACGTCTGCAAGCTTCTTGCCCCGACGCGAGAAAGTGCCCACGATCCACGCAAGATCGCCTCGCATCTTGGCGAACAACCCGCCGCGGCCTTATCCGGCGCTGAATCCAAACGCCCCCCAGGTTGCTTGAGCGGGTGCATATCCAATAGCTGCAAAAGTCGCTGCGCGCCGCGCCCCGCAGCAAACCGGGCAGCCAACGACTTCGACCGAATCGCCCGCGCGCCCTGCTCGACCGGCGCGGGGGGCGTCGTAGCCGGCGCGCTCGCGAGCCGCGCGCCCCTGCCCTCGAGCTGCGCCGCCCCCGCGCGATGGCGCTTCTGGGGAGGAGGGGCGCCCATCGAAGGATATGCCCAGTCCATCCTGCGGCCCGCCGTCCAAGCAGCAGCCCGCGGCTTTCTCCGCGAGTCCATGTCACTGCGCCGCTTGCGCGGTGGCTCCACCACCCACTTGCGGAAACTGGAAAACGCTGTCTTCGGCTTCGGCTCCACCTCCTGATGGGCGAGGGGGAAGCGGGCGAAGGACTTGGGAACGCCGCCCGAAACCTTCTGGGTAAGAACTTGCTGAACTTCATCCTGCTGAACGTACCAGAGCGGCCCAGCCCCGTTAACGTTCAGCACGGGCGTGTCGAATTCGATCGCTTCCTCAGCGACGCGGCACTCCGGGCCAGACGCAGCAAGGGCCCACGGAGATTGCTGACCATCTCGGGTCACCCGTCGCCCGAGGCGCGCCCGCCCAATGATGCGCGAATACGGCGGGGCCTCTGGGGCATCTGGCCAGGCCGCTGCGAGAGCGGACTGGCCAGACGCAACCTCGCCAGACGCACCGCCCTTCTGGAAGCAAGTGCCCTTTGAACGAAAGACTATGCCACGGGCGCTCTCCTCGGACCATGGCTAAAGCCACATGCGGAGACTGAACCGTGACAGCTCGCCATGGCAATCGCAGCACCCCCCGCGCCCATAAGAACTGCCAGGACTGAGAATACATCGGCTCTCACGGGCAACCCTCGCCCATAAGAACTGCCGGGGCTTGAGCAAAATTGATGCGGACGGACTCTGGATGATGATGCCATGACGTGCATCCTTGTTGATCCTACGTGCTCGGGTGCACGCTTGAAGGGATATGCGTGCTGTCGCCCCGTTTGGTTTTAATTAAAAGTGTCCGGGACGGCCCGAGCGGCCCCCCATGGCCCGCCCTAGACGGCCCCTAGGACCCCGAGATGAGCCCAAGAGGATTCAAGAGACCCCGAGATAAGCTCATTGCTGCACAGGCCATCTCCCGCAGGATGGCCCGAGAGTGGGAGCCAGGGCTGCTTCGCGGAGCTCTCCACCGCAAGATGGTCTCCAAGAGGCTTCAGGAGGCCTTCAAGGAAGCCCTCAGGAGGTCCCCGATGTACCCCAAATTCATACGTAAGCATCTAAAGGGTCCCAAAAAAACATCCGACGACGGGGTCGGCGGTGCGTCATAAGTCAATGAATCCACGTCCGGACTGCAGCGAAGCGTCTCGGCAGTCCGCCAGGACGCGCGTGCGACGCAAGGGCCCAGCCACAGAGCCCTAAGGCGGCCCCGAGAGGCCCCCAAGACGGCCACCGAAAGGGGCCAAACGGCGCAATAGCGCCCGAATACGGCCCCCGACGCCTTCAAGAAGCCCCAAAGAAGTTCACAAGAGGCCCCAAGAGTCGCCCCCAGGAAACCTCCAAGAGGCCCCCAAGAGGCTCCTGGGAGCCCCCAAAACGACTGGACTGTACGTGGTCCGGACGTGCACCCGCGAAACGAGAGGAATCTTCACATGTTTGGCTCGGGTGTTGGCTCATCCCTCGCCGTCAGAGCCGACAGCGACGAGGGTAATGACGTTCCCTGACATTCGGCATGGGGCCCAAGGCCCCTCCAGGGTATCCTGACCAATTCCTCTTCCTCCTCCTCCTCCTCCTCCTCCTCCTCCTCCTCCCCTCGTTATCCAACTCCTCCTGCTGCTGCCCCCCCCCTCCTCCTCCCCCTCCTCCTTCTCCACCTCCACCTCCACATTCTCATATTCCACGTTTTCCTCATCCTTTTTGTCCCCCTCCTCTTCCTCCTCGCTGTCGTCGTCGTCGTCGCCCTCCTCCTCCTCCTCCCCGCGTTCCTTCCCCCATTTTACTCCTCCCTCTCCCCTTCCCCTTCCCCGCCCCTTTTCCCTCCACCTCCACATCCTCCCCCTCCTCCTCCTCCTCCTCCTCCTCCTCCTCCTCCTCCTCCTCCTTCTCCGCCTCCCCCTGTTCGCCTTCCCCCCCGGGGG